CCTCCGGCCCGGGGATCCCTCGAGGTCCCGCCAGGCCCTCGCGTGCTTTGTCCGCCGCCCGTCCTCGCTGTTCCCCCGGAACCGTGCGGCCGTGACCCTTCCGGGCCTGCGCCTCCTGCGGGGTTGGGACCGGCACGGGGAGGGAGGGACGGGGCCGGTGTTGGTGCCATAACACCGGCACGGCCCGGGGTGGGAAGCGGTGTCCCCAGCAGTAGCCGCAGTGGGTGCGTGGCTTTCCTAAAGAGACTTAATCTGAAAAAGAGACTAATTGTGCTTTTCTTTTTGTTCCTCTGACGCCAACACATAGCATGGTGCAGTTACAGGTTGCTTCTGTATGCATTTGGAACTTACAGTTTCAAGGACCATCTTGGATTTGCAGTTTTACTTTATTGGCAGACTGCTCTGCAAGTGATCTAAATCCTCGTTTTGCTCAGCACTAATCAAAGCTGCACCAAAAGAACATTCATGATGCCAGTGTTAATTAAAGGGAATATATATTTGCTCTCATAATTTACTGACTTGACAGACCACAGAATGCAATTCTTTAACAGTAGTGCCTTAGTGGATTTTTGTTATCCTTCCAGGCATGAGTTTAAGCTTGAAGGCTGTGGCTGTGACCAGCTCAGCTCCCCAGGATGCCACACAAGATCGGTTTCACTGTGGTCAGTTCATCGGGACACGAGGATGGGTTCAGTGCTCGGGAGCTGATGGTTCACGCACCGACGGTGAATGGGTGGCGATCGCCCAGGTACTGTGAGGGGATGGTCTTGGAGCACTGAATTTCTGAAGCACCAAGTTTAAAACGAGTGGCAGATGTACCGTGCATGGTCAGAGCAGTTTGCAGTATCCTAAACCAAAAAACCAAACTGATAAAGCAAAATAAAGTTACTTTAATCCCATGAAACCCTCATCCGGGGGAAAAAACCACCTTGGTTAATGCCTAAAGGCACTGCGTTGTATTTGAATAAAGTCCTGGAAAATGAAGATGAAAACTGGTTTTGTTCTTGGCAGTTTTGGAGTTTGCAATTGCTCTGGCTTAGTATGAAAAATCCATTTGACTCAGTACATCTTCTAAATGTGTGCAGGACACACCTGAACACATGCACACAGTAAAGGGAAGGGAAAGGAAAAGTGTTTCCACTCTACTCCTGGGATTCTTACAATATTTGTAATGTTTGCTTATAATTAATAACTTGAAAGTTCCATAATTAAATGTTGCTCAATTTGGAAGTGAAGTCTGCATTAAAAAGATGATTGAATTCAGAAACTGTGTCTCTTTCAGGCTCTGTCAGTATCCCCAGGAAATCATCCTGCAGTTGGTGGAGAGATGTCGGATCCGGAAGCTGCAGCTGCTTGCTCACCAGTACATGATTGCAAGCAAAATTGAATTCTACATCAGTGAAAGTCTGCCTGAATACTTTGCTCCATATCAGTCAGAGAGGTTTCAGAGACTTGGGTGAGACAGAAAATTCTGGATCAGTTTGTTGTCTTAACCAGAAAAGCTTCAGGGGAAAATAGTACTCACTATGGGTTGTGTGTGATGAGGACATGCTGTGTGAGCAGCTGAGAGATCCTGATTTGTGTAGATCTGTGACAAAGCTGGAGATGCAGGTGAATTGCCTTGCCAGCTGACAGCACATTTTGTTTCAGTTATGAGGGAGTTTTAAACCTGAGGGTCAGAAATCCACCTGTGTGTTTGGATGTATCATCTGCTCGTGTGTTATGTTTTCCTTCCCAGTTATGTCCCGCTCTCAGACAATGAGAAGACTGATTTCAGAGCTCGAGAGTTGAAATCTGTGTACATGGATGCAGTTGGCCAGTACCTCAAGCTGATTTTCCATAAAAATTATGTCAATAAATACAACTTGTATGGGCAGGTGAGTTGGAAGTCCTTACCTGGTAACCTAGGTGACACTTCTGTAGTGAAGAGCAGGCACAGAAATCTGCTCCCTTGATTTGTAGAAGCAAAAAATGTTGCTGAAAGCCCCTGTGTTTATTTTAGTTTATTTTAAAGCACAAAAACATGAATAACAGACTAGAAGTGAGTTTGGATCAGGTGGGTGCACCTCATCCAGAGCAGAGTCGAGGGCACATTCTGTCACTCTTGCTGTGGTTTAGCCCACACAGCAGGGTCTGTGTTGAGAACAAAGAACTCCCTCTGAGAGCAGCTTTGGGGTCCCAAGGCACTCTGAGTGTTTTGGACCTGTTGTGGCATTAAGTGAAGATGTTGCACAGCCACCATGGTACATACACACAAACACCTGCCTCAGTTCTGCTGGCACTCATTTCAGCACAATGGGGTTGTAGGTTTGGTGATACATTTTCAATGGAGCAGGGAAGCACATGTAGCACTCTGCTTCTCTCTGCTTCCATATCGCACTCCTGACCACAGGCCCTGTCATTTTAGTTCCAAGGAAAGAGGAATGAGCTTACACATTTAATTTTCTGTGAATTTCTGCAGGTTGCCCTGGTAGCTGTCAACATCATCGGGGATCCAGAGGACTATGGCAATGACAGCATGAGCAGTGTAAGTCCAAAGCATCCCTGTCCTTTTACTGATGCTCCATTTCTTAAAGTACAGAAAAAGTACAAGTTACTTCCTGGAGTAATGGGATGAACTTTTTTTGTGCCAGTTCTGTGCTTTAGCAGACCTGTGTAGCACTTATTTATTTTCAATGTTTCCTTGAAGCAAGAAAGTCGAGCCTAATATGGGAATAGAAAAATTAAAATAAAATTAGTTGGGATGTTTTCATTTTCAGCATCTCCAGGTTCTCTTGCTTCAATGTGCCCCAAAACACAAGTGCTCTGTGTTGCAGAGCTGATGTCAGAATTCTGTCTTGAACACACACCTGCTGTTGTGGCATGTGGATTAAGATGTTTTTCCCCCACCTTTCCAAAGCCTTCCAGAGAGAAGCTGATAGATCACTACTTGGGAATTAAATTGGATGATCCTGCCTTAGATGGAACTTACCTTGGGTAAGGATGTTCTTTGCATACACCCTGGCAAAACCTCTGCTTGGTGTAAAGTAGATGTTGATCTGTGTTTTGTTGATTCCCTGCTAATTAAAAGAGAAGCCTGCCTTATTGTGGTTTGCTTTATTCATTTTATGCCTTCAGGAAACGTGACTCCATTTCACCTCTGGATGATCTGGCCTTTGACATGTACCAGGACCCAGAAGTGGCTCAGATAATCCGGAGGCTGGATGAGAAGAAGCGGGAAGCTGTGTGTCTCGAGTACTACGACCATGCCAAGAAGCTCAAACAGGCCATTGCAGACTTGCAGAAGGTGTTGTTGGAATATCTTTGATACCTAAATGGAGCAGAGCTCCAGTGGCCCATCAGGGCCTTGGTGTTTGCGTGGAATTGTAATGATTTTCCATATATTTCCCAAAAGAATAATTTTAAAATCATAGCTTGATTAGTAAGATAGCTTGATTGAGTAATTTGGCTAGAAGCAATGAAACGAGTAAGATGATTCCAAGAAATGCTCAGTAAAGTGATTCCAAGAAGTGTTCAGTAAGATGATTTCATGGTGATTTGTACCAATCCTAGGTGGGGGAGAGACTTGGCCGCTACGAGGTGGAGAAGCGTTACGCTGTAGAAAAGGAGGATTATGACCTTGCCAAGAAAAAGAAGGAGCAGATGGATGAGTACAGGCTAAAGGTGTACCAGCAGCTGGACCTGCATGACCTCCTGGATACAAAGCTGCTGGTGGGTGCTGTTAGTCCAGCAGGGTGTTCTAAATAGAAATGGCAGAGCAACCAAACTTCATTCACAGGTTAATGGAAATTTTGAGATTTACTGAAGATTTCAGTTTTCTGTTTGGATTGTGGATTTCTCCAACCTAAGACTCTCAATGTGTTGTTTTATGAACGTGTTTAGTTCTCCATAAATCCTGTTACACTGTTGAGGTCTCAAGAAAATGGCATTAGAATTCTGAATGTTTTGCATAATTTCAAGACTACCTGATGCAGATGAATAAGGTACTTTCTCGTATTTTGGAGGGTTAGAGGAGGCTTAGGCTGGTATCAAGGCTAATAATACAGAATCCATGTGATTTTTTTATATACATACAGTCATGTAATGTTCTCAGAACACGAGGTTTTATAGTCTCTCCCCACACAGAATTATTTTCTGACTGTTTCATAAAGCTGCATCCAGTGGGAATGATGACACACCTGTGAGCCAGGTTCAATGTTTACTTGAAATCCCGAGAAGCCCATTGACAGGGCTGTAGATGTACTGACTGATTTTAGCATACATTTTTAGCCTTGCTGTAAAAATCTTTTTCCCTTTCTCAGATCCAAAAGCCACCTGAGTTGCCTTTGGGATCTGTGAGTAGCACTGAGAGCCCCCAGAGCTCCCCTCCTGGGCCTGCAGACCCACCCCAAGGAGAGCCCCGGAGGGCAGAGCCTGTGCTGGAAGAGCAGGTGGTGGATCCCACTTCTTCTGAGCTTCTTGTTCTCTCCCAGTCCCCTCTTTCTCCTCGGACTCAGCCCACAACCTCCAAGGAAGCGTTTTCCAAGAAAAATGTGAGTAGTGTTCCCTCTGTTACTACAGAAACCTGTCAAAGCAAACAATCTGATGTCCAGCCTTCCAAATAATGTGGTTATTCTCATGGTTAACTGGGGAATGATGCTGCTTTGATGGGAGAAAATTGCACTGAGGTGAATCCAATTAGTGATAAAACCACTTTACATCTAAGTCATTTCCAGAACAACAAATTTTATCTTTTCTGCTAGGCTGAATTTTTACCTTACGATGAGAGACCTCTCCCAACCATCTGCAAGCAGGTGGATGAAGCTGTTGCCTGCCTTGAGCCAGAGGTGACTGAAGAGGGCATGGGTGATACTCCAAGGACTGGGAATACTGAGGAGCCTGAACTGCTCACAAAAAAGGCACTGAGGGAAGCCAGCCCTGTTGTGGAAGTTTTTGGAGAGACTTTGGTAAGAGCCCAAAACCCAGTAAAACAAACCTATGGGTTACTGTTCTCTGTGTTGAGAGGATTTTTATGTGCTCAGAGCTGCTGTCTTAAAACCTGAGCTTAAAATTTGACCTTGGCTCTATGGATGCCTGTTTACAGCATTTCAGCAAATCTGTAGCTTTGATGATCGATTACGTGATGTGCTGATAAACAGACAGGATCCAGCAGACTGCTTTAGGGTGTGAACCTAGAATACCCATAACTTGCCACTTTCTTTTGCAGGGAGAGAAATACTCACTGTGCCTGGAAGGGCTCCATGAGCCTGACCTGTTAATCCCATTTCACTCATCACACTTCAAAATGCGTGCTTTTAATAAAGCCAGATTCCTGTGGGGAACACCTGGGGATTTCATGCTTCAGTTCATGTTCTTTGAGGCTGGTTCTCTATATAACTGTTAAATATGTATTGAAACACTTGTAGGGATCTTTTAAGAGATAGACTTGTTCTGTGCTCAGGTTTCAGGAGCGTATTCCAGAACTTGGTCATGTCGAGAAGACGCTTTACTGACTGTGTACGAGAAGCTGATGGAAGTGTCAGTGGACACTCCAAAGGAGGATTTAAGGAACATGCTGAGGGCTGCTGTTTTCCTTGTGAGGAGGGCCATCAAAGACACTGTGTCTTCAGTAAGTTGGGATAGGTTTGATGCTCCAGTGGACTGGCAGCCGAAATTGCAGAACCGAGAGTTGGAACAAATAGTTTATAAATCCAAAATCAAAACAAATCCCCTCATAACTCCCAAAACAACTGGGCAATGTCTGGCATTGAACAGATGGAAAAACGCTGCCCTGGGCTGAGCCATGAGCTGATGCAGTAAATGTGCAGTGAGGTTGATTCTTTTTCTTTGTTAAAGCTGAAATACAGCAATGAATTAACTTCTAGTTTCCAGCTCAAGGGACTACACTTAGCTGAAGGATGCTTGGGCATCAAATAAACCTTATATTAGAAGAAGAAAACTGAGCTGGTACTCTTTATGAAACAGTTTCTGAAGCTTTTTACCAAAGTCCTAGCAACAGGTTTTCTGGAAGACAGTTGTCTGAAGAAGCTTCCATTACAGGGTGTTACTGTTATTCCTGACTAAGAATAGATTTTACTCTATTGTCTGAAAGCAGGGGTCTTTGTGTTACTTTTTTCTCAGTGCTTCCTTTTTCTTTTTAACTTAGGTTTTTCAGGCTTCCCTGAAACTTCTAAAAATGATCATTACCCAATATGTACCAAAACACAAACTAGGAAAGCTAGAAACTTCTCATTGTGTGGAAAAAACCCTGCCACATTTGCTCTCTAGAACAGGAGACTCTTCATCCCGTCTTCGTCTTCTGGCTTCAACCTTCATCCAGGTGGGTGTTTCCCTTCAAATTAGGGAGCTCATAGGTGAGAAACACCTGATCAGAGTGGACTGTGAGACCAGGCTTGGCTGCTGTGAAGTGTTACAGCTTATCACAGAATCTTATCACAACTTATCACAGAATAGGTGGGGTTGGAAGAGCCCTCATCCAGTCCAACCCCCTGCCAAATCAGGGTCACCTGGAGCAGTCTGGGGGTACCTGCTACTGCTGCAGGTGTGACTCTTGTGTTCTCTGCTTCAAGTGACCTACGGAGATGAGAAAATTCTGCTTTGCAGAGACAGGTCATTATCCTCATTCAGCATCTGTGTACTCACTGAATCTGTGTGTTTCTAGGAAATGGCACTGTGCCCTGAAGTAAAACCTCTCCAGATTATTCCAGTCCACCTGGTTAAAACATTAAAACCAAACTCCCCAACACACCTGGCAATGAGTCATGTGGAATTGGTGGAATCTCTCTTGCGAGCCATGGGGACTGAAAACTCTGGGTTTACCATCAACAACGTCATGAAGGTAAGAGGTCGAGGTTACAGCACATACAGGATTTTCTGATGGTTTTCTGGGGGCTTGCCTGGCTTTTTTGGTGTGCTTGAGAATTCCTGAAAAGGTGTATTCCCCTAATCAACAGTGCTGGTAATTTTAGACCAGGTTGGACAGGTCTTGGAGCAAGTAGGAAGGTCTAGTAGGAAGTGTCCCTGCCCATGGTATGGGGTGGAATGAAATGGACTTCAAGATCCCTTTCAACCCAAGCCATTCTGGGATTCTATGAAGCGAGATGTTAATATCTGGAAAAAAGAGCCAATGGGTTAATAAGTTTGCAAAAACCTGTCTTGTAGGAAGATTTCTTTTGCTGCAGGAGAGTCTTGGACTAATAATATCTAATAAAACTAATAAATCCTTAAAAATGCAAGAAAATAGAGACATAATTTTTTTATAATTATTTCCAGTTTGCCACGGGAGCTCTGGAGCACAGGGCTCATGAGGTGCGTGAGGTGGTACTGCGGATCATCTTTGCCATGTACAGGGAGCACAGGGCAGCTGTGCTGGAGTATCTCCCACCGGACGATGCCAACGCCCGCAAGACCATGCGCTACAAAACTCTCTTTGAGGGGTTTGCCAAAATCGATGGGAAATCTTCTGAAACTGAACTGAGGGTAGGTAATGAGAGGCAGAACAGACAGGACCACTTCAGACATGGCATTTGGCTGAGTGGTATCCTGATTTCATGGCTGGATTGGACACTGCACAGGTAGCAGAGTATCTTCAGGTGTGTGGTTAGTGTTCCTTAGCGTGGGGTGCTGAGTGTGTTCCTTATACTCACTCTTGGGAATAAAGCCAACAAGGAATACTGAGACGGACAAGCAGTTTGGAAAACACAAATGCTATTTTCTGCTGTCAGTCCTTAGGAACAATAAGCCAAATGGCTTTGCTGTGTGTTCCTTTCAGGTAGTGCAGAGGAATTTAGGAAGAGGGAGGTGTTGCTGTATCACACCCATCACTTAACCAAGCAGAACATTTCCTGTCCTGTATGAACCATGAGTTCTGTGCTGATGTGTTTTGCAATCTCTTGTGTATGAGGGATGGTTCCAAAGCTTTTGTAACTGACAGATTATTTCCTGCTAGGCACAGAGAAAAGCAGCAGCAGAAGCAGAGAAACAGAAAAATGAAGAAATGAAAGTTCTAAAAGGCTACCCAGCAGCTTTAAAGTTAGAGTTACAAGCAGAGGTTGAAGCTGAAGAGGTGAGCATGTTTCAGTTTAAGGTCGTTTTAATCCTTTGCTTCTTGGATATCATGGACTTAGATAATGAACGTTGGTGTTGTCTCATTAAAAAGAGTGAGAAACTCCAGACATGCACTGGGTGACTTTTCTCCTCAGCAGTCCAGCTTAAAATCTGGGTGTTGTTTTTCCTAACATAATGTAAAATTCGGATTCTTTATTATAATATAACAATATAATAATACTTTTATAATATAAAATAATACCTTAATACAAGAGATTTGCCTTAGAACCAGAAGCACAAATGTTGTAGTGTGTTGGCTCTCCTTCTAAATTTTAAATTCCACACAGAAGTCAGAATGTAGTGTGTTCCCTTTCTCTCTGGAAGGCAAATTTCTGAGTTAAATTTCTTTGTTCAATAGGAGAAAGAATCTGATTTTCAGAAGATAGAGGGTCAAGGTAGGTAGTGTCAAATAAGAGTTAAGAAATGTAGGTGAGTTAAAATGTGATCTTGGTTTAATAGTTCTCTTCTTACAGATTACCAGGAATACGAAGGCCCCCGGGTTACAGCAGCAAAGATTCAGGAGGAACTTTCCTCTGTTGCAAATTACCTGGATAAGTAAGTGAGATGAGCCTCTAATCACCTTAAGCCCTTGGTGTCACCTGTGAGCTCCTAACAGTAAAAACGTTTTTCCAGTAAATCAAAGCTAATACCCTCAGCAGTGAAACAATAAAGACTAAAATCTCTTCTAACAGATTTGGAATTATCACCAGACAATCCTAGGTGCTTTTTTTTTAAAGTTCTTGGATGGTGTGACTTTGTACTTTTTTTTCTGAGTATTTGCTTGTGGGATAAGAAATAGCCACAGTTTAATGTTCAGCTGCTAGTGTGAAATAAGGGAAAAATGTGGTGTGGCTTTGCTGGGTGTCAGAGAAGGAGGGCATAGAAGAAGCCCTTGGAAATTCTGGAGCCAGGTAAGTCAGTTTTGGTGGGCTGCTCTCAGAGCTTCTGTGGAATTAATCATTCTATAAGAAGAAATGTTCTATAATTGTATTTACCCTGCAGTTAATACCCTACAATCCAGTACCTACCTAAACTCAGCTCTACACAGGGAAAATAAACTTTTCAAGATACTGGCTGTTCTTGAGAACAGCTTGGAACAGAAGGAACAGGGCTCATCCATTTCTCTCTGATGTCACTGATATTTGCTTTTTTTTTTCCCAGCTTGTGTATTTTTTGTGGTGAAAGGAATGAATCCTTCACAGAGGAAGGGTTGGATCTGCATTACTGGAAGTATTGCCCTATGTTAACCCGATGTGAGCACTGCAAACAGGTCAGCCTGAACTTCCCAGAGCTACTAAGTCATGGACTGTTGTTATTCTGGTTTAGAGGTGTTGCAAGATATTTAACACTTGTGCAGGTGAATTCTGAATGCACCTGTGTGATTTGGGTGGTGCTTGGAAAAGAGCGGGATTAGAAAATGAGTTAATAAGTGGACTGAAATTGAATTTTCCCTTTGTCATTTTGGAAGGTGAGGCTAAACTAATGGTTTTTAATCCCATCCCTGTTTGCTCAGCACAAACCTTGCTGGCTGTGTTGCAGATGCTGGAGATCTCCAGCCTGACGGAGCACCTGCTGATCGACTGTGACCAAAGGGACAGCTTTGGGAGGTGCCCACGCTGCAGAGAGGCCGTGCCCAGGGACATGCTGCCCAGACACATGAAGAGCAGGGTTTGCAATCGTGAGTAGCTCCAAACAGGAAGGTGGAATATCAGAGGTTCAGACTTTTAAACACCAGGGATCTTTGCCAATTCAGGCAGCTTGTGCTTTGGACTTAGGGATCTAAGTAAATTCTCAGAAGGGAATAAATTTGGGATGAATACCTGAGTTTTCCAGTGCTTGGCCTTTGTGAATGTGTGTGGGGAGGGTGAGTGGAAAGACTGGAAAATCTCTTCCATATCCCTGTAGATTAAGCAGTATCCCAGCACAGAAAGGACATGGACCTGTTGGAATAGGTTCAGAGGAGGCACCAAGTTGATCAGAGGGATGGGTCACCTCTGCTATGGGGAAAGGCTGAGAGAACTGGGATTGCCTGGAGAAGAAAAGGCTTTGGGGTGACCTAATTGTGGCCTTCCATTAGGGTCTGAAGGGACTACAAGTGGAGAGAGGCCATGTGCAAGAGTCTGGAATGACGGGATAAGGGGGAACTGGATGATCTTTAAGGTTCCTTCCAATCCATGCGATTCTGGATTCTGAGACTCCTTTTGATCTTGTTTTGATGAAGATGATTAAACACAGGACTTCTCTGGGAGCAATTAATGATAACAATTAATGATGATTTATGCACTTGCTATGCAGATTCTCTTCTTGTGTCTGAAATTAGTCTCTCTTTACAATTCTTATATTATTTCAGCTTCCAGACCAGAAAATACAGCAAACCACTGCCCTTTGTGCCATGACAACTTCCCCCCTGGAGAGGAGGTGAGGCCACCCTTCACACTGGGCAGATGTTGTTACAGGTTGTTTTAATGTGATAGACCTTTCAAGGTATATTAAAATAATGGAGATATTAATTTCCATTTCATAGCAATCTGCTTTTAAAAAAGCAGATTAAAGTGCTGTTGATATAAAGTCTGTACACAATTACCATTTTGCCCATGTGATATTGACTAAATTTGCTGGAGTTGTATTATCACTTCTTTGTAATTCACTTCAGGCCTGGAGATCTCACCTGATGGGCAGAGATGGCTGTAAAATGAACCAGCGGAGGACATCCCCCATGAACAAAACCATTGTGGTGCAGCCTGGTAAGACATTAATTAATGATAATAACATTTATGCTTTTTACCGTGTTGCCTTCGCTTAAGGAGAGTGTTTCATCTCCCAAGATCTGGGTCTGTGCAACTGGTGGTTTGCATTGGGGTGATGTAAGTGACAGTTCTTGTGCTGGAGCAGTTTACTTGGGGAGCAAATTCCCAAAATCATGCAATAACGATCATGTTAAAAGGAGGACACGAGCTCAGCTGGTGGGGAAAACCGGCAGATTTGATAAGTTGATCAGTTCAAGGTTTTTTTTAGCAGAACAAGGTGACCATGGATAGAACAATCAGCTGAACAGTGTTCTGGAAAGCTCCTGAACGCTGACACAGGGAACCAGAGCCTGATTGAGCTTTTAGCATCCAATCAAAGGTTGCTAATCTGATCCTAATTACAGGGTAAACTGAACAGTGAGTGCTGTGCACTGCTTTTCCATTCCAGTCCAGACTCAGGAACCTGACAGATTTATCATTGTGCAGCTTTTTCACCATCAGAGAGACACTGATGATGTCAGGTGATGGTTTTTCATGAAGAACATGGAAAATCCTTTTATTTCCAGAGCACAGAAGTTAAGCAAACTGCCTACAGCACCGGAACTTTTGGTCTGTAACACCCAAACTTTTCCTCCTTCTGACTCTTTGGAGTTTTTTAGTCATCTGTGTATTCAGAGTTCACCTGCTCTTTGCTGTTCTCTGCTCATATCTGCATGTCACTATTCCAGGAACCTGGAATGAGCTGTGGAATTTGCCATTCCAGCTGACCTAAGTGAATCATAGGGTTAAACTCAGCATTATTTGTGTTAAACTGGATCCACAGTCCCGTCTGTCCTCAGCTTTGCTGTTTGTACTGGCTAACGAGATACCAGTCAGTTGTTAATTTATTGCCCCTTAGGATTGAAACCAAAAGCAAATCCTGCCTGGATAAGCTCTGATTTGAGAGCTATTTCCTAGAAATAGGAAAGAGGCCCTGACCATTCAGTCTGAGCACTGCTGATGTGGAACATGATGAGGCTCAATGCCTGCCAGCTTCTGGTTGATTCAGTCATTCTGATTTAACAGGTCTTGGGAATCAAAATGGTGGATTAAATTTATTCCTGGGACTAGATGTGCTTGCAATAATGATCTGTTTTTGTCTTTTCAGCCAAAGTGGGTGGCCACTATTTAAGGAAACCGGGTCCTTCAGGAGCAAAAATTCAACCTCCTTCAATAGGAAGCAAGATCAGAACCCGAGAGGGCCCAAATAAAAGCAGTGGCAAAACATACTCAAAGCGATGACAGGACAAGTATTTCTTCCTTTGTCTGAATAACTGGGCACATGGCTGTTCAGAGCTATTTAAAAATTGTGGGCTACTTGTATCATCTTTTGTGTGGACTGTTTTTAGCCTTGAGCAGTGCCTGGTGTGATCCCCACGGCTGTCACTGCAGCACTGCGCTTGGCTCCTAGGAATGCTCATGTTGGAAATACAAAATGTTTTAAGACAAAACCATTATTTTTACAGATAACTGTGCTCTCTTTTCCAATCCCATGTCTGTAATTTAATGGGTTCAAGCACATTAATTATGTCAGGGGAGAGAAGTCTCTTCCCTGGGTCCTGTGAGGTGCTTGAGGAACAGGAGCCATGCCTGGGGGAAGCCTGGCCTCATGTGTATGTCAGATTTAGGGTTCTAAAGGCAGCAGAGCTATACCCAAAGCACTGCTCAATCCCAGGAATTAGCACCAAATGGAAAAGCCAGAGGGCTGGTTGGATGTTTTCCTGTGCTGTGCCACTGTGCAGGAGGTAACAGTTCATTGCTGCCTCTCTCACTGTGCACCAAGTGCCTTATGAGCCCACTTGGCAGGAGGGTTAAACCAAACCCTCCAAGTCTGTATCCCCAACAAATGGCCCCTTACAGAAATGAAAAAAATAATTTTGGTTGGGCCTTGAAGAGCTTGAATTAGTAAATTTAGACCTTTTTGCCTGCTTTAGTGCACTTTCAGCTCAAATACTGAGCTTCTCTATTTAGATATTGATTAAAATAACCGTCTATAGACTGGAGTACATCTTTAACAACTTCAGAGAGACAAAGTCTATTAAGACCCAAGGCATGAAGCTTTGTACCAAAGCAGCAATTCTCACATCTCTACCTGTAATGTTCCAGCTGTTGCTTTCCAGTGTGGAATTGGTACCATGGGCACGAGAATGAGTGATCATGATAATATGAGGGGAAATTTGGGGGGTTTTTTGCTCCCATGGAGTGACTTTGTGGTGTTTTGTATATACAGAGCTGATTTTGTAATACAGTTTTTCTAGTTTGTCTGCAGTCTGCCTACCAGCTTATGGGTTTTCCAGGTACATCAGTGTGCTTGGATTTCAAAAATATTTGTGTAAATTGTTTCTCTAACTCTTTCAAATACATATCTCAACAATTACACACACATTAGGAGCATATATATAGGTATTTTTATTTTCCCTTCAGTGACATGGGTTCCTATTTGAGAACCTGATTCTGTATGCTGAATAAATAATAAATAAATATTATTAAAAAATAACCATTAATCTTGCTCAGAGGTGTAAGGATGAAAACTGCCCTCTGGTACAATAAGGAAATAACCTAGCAATAATAAAATTTTTTAGAATGTGAAAGGACCCTTTTGGAGTACAGCAGTACCCACCTGTGTCACGTTTAAAGGTGGATTTACTGAGGTTGCTCCTTAATTAACAACCTGGGTTTGCTTCAAGGGCAAAATAAACACTCGAGTGAAGAACACCATGAGGTTTGGTGCTGTGCCACCAAGTCTTGAGCAAAATATTCCAGAGAAAATCCATTGCAGAGGTGTGGACCTGGGCAATGAAAGAAGGTCTGCAAAGTGTTGGACTGGAACCTGGATTTGGCAATAATGTGGCCTCAGTGGGAAAGCAAGGAAAGAGTGTGATCCCTGTCCATTTGAACTGTGCCTGAGTGTCAGCTGAGGCGTTTTCATGTGTCACTGCAGAGATGATTCCAGAGCAGCCCCTGTCCGTGCATGCGGGAGTTGATCTCATCCCAAAAGACCTCTTGGTGTTCCACTACCCCAAGAGAGCAACTTATAGTGATTGGATGTTCCTAAGTGCTAGATGAACAAATCAGATATTGAAATCTGGGAAATTTTATCAAGAAAAGGAGTCACTTGTGTTAATATAAGTTATTTTTATTGCACATATTTAATAAATTACTTTAGCCAGTCTGGAGAGTACATCTGCATTTTCCATCTGCTACACTGGAAATCGGTACTGGTGGGGTGAGGCTGTGGCTCCTGCAACACCTGTGGGTACCTGCGAATACTGTACCTGTGTGAGCCCTGCCTGGGGAACCTGTACAGTGTGTGCTGTATGTGTGTGAGCTGTGCCTGGACCTGTGTGTGCCTGGAGCTGTGTGAGCTGGACCTGTGTGAGCTGGACCTATGTGTGCTGTGCCTGGACCTGTGTGTGCTGGACCTGCACCTGTGTGTGCTGGACCTGGACCTGTGCGGCACGGCTGGGGCAGACCCGCGGCTCAGCAGCGATGCGGTCCCGCGGTTTGCCCTTGTTTAAGGCATCACTGCATCCAGGAGCAGCGCTCAGCCCCGTCCGGGCGGGACCGTGTCACCGCGCTCCCGCTGCTGAGCTCCCGCTGCTGAGCTCCCG